GAAAGAAAAACGAGAATCTTGAACTTCTATTTATTGAAGAGTGTAGATATACAAATGATTGGCCAAAGTGGAAAGACGCAATCAAAGTGGAATTGAATTTATTTACAAAATATGAAGTTTTTAGATTTGTAGTCCATACATCAAATTGTGTAAAACTAATAAGACATAAATGGGTATTTGTGCGAATATGAAATGAGAAAAATGAGATTATGATATATAAAGCACAGCTTGTTGCACAAGGTTTTCTCTAAAGATATAGTATTGAAGATGAAGAGATATTCTCTGTGGTCGATACAATTACAATTCTATATTAATTAGTCTAAAAATAAATGAGAAAATTAAAATGCGTCTAATGAGTGTAGCTATAGTCTATTTATATGGTTCTCTTAATAACAATATTTATATGAAAATCTTTGAAGGATTTAAGTTGTCTGAAGTACAAAATTTGAATTCTCGATAAATTTATTCAATCAAATTATATAAATATGTATATAGATTAAAGTATATAGATTAAAGGATTAAAGGATTTAGATATGAATTTATTATAATTGCTGTCTATGTTGATGACTTGAACATTATTGAAACTTCTGAAGAGTTATCAAAAGTCGTGGATTACTTAAAAAGAGAATTTGAGATGAAAGACCTAGTAAAAAAAAATCAAGTTTTATTTAGGCCTTTAGATTGAACACTTGACAAATGAAATTTTTTTCCATCAATTAAATTATATAGCAAAAGTGCTAAAACGATTTTATATGGAAAAACATATCCATTGAGTTTACCAATGATTATAAAGTCATTATATGTGAAAAAGAACTTTTTTTAACCTCGTGAGGATAATGAAGAACTTTTTGGTCTTGAAATACCATATCTTATTGCAATTGAAATACTAATGTATCTTGTTAGCAATACAATACTTGATATATGAATTGTTGTGAATTTATTAGCATAATATAGTTCTTCTCCAACTTAAAGATATTGGAATTGAATTAAACATATACTTAAATATCTCCAAGGAACAATGGATATGGAATTACATTATTCAAATACATCAAAATAAATTTTAATTATTTATGCAGATGCAAAATATTCATCTCATCCACGTAAAGCTGGATATTAGACAAGTTACTTGTTCATATATGGAGGTATGGCTATTTCATGGCATTCTATAAAGCAAACTATAGTTGCTATTTCTCCTAGCCATGCAGAAATTTTAGCAATTCATGAGCAAGTCGTGAATGTGTCTAGTTAAGATATGTAACTCAACGTATTTGCGAAACGTGTGCATAGTTAACCAAGAAAGAAATTTCAACAACGTTATATGAGGATAATATTATTTGTATAGCACAATTAAAGGAAGGATATATTAAACACGATTGAACAAAACACATAATTCGCCAAAATCCTTCTTCACTCATGATTTTCAAGAAAATGATGAAATTAGTGTTCGATAAATTCAGTTAAGTGACAATCTAACAGATTTGTTCACCAAAGCCCTTCTTACTACAACATTTGAAAAGTTGGTGTAAAAGATTGAAATACATCATTTTAAAGATCTATATAATACAATCATCAAGGGGAGTAAAATACGCATTGTATTTTTTTCCTTCATCCAAGTTTTTCTTATTGGATTTTTCTTGATAAGGTTTTTAATGAAGCAATATTTTAAAAGTGTATTCTTGAAAATATTATGTGCTCTTTTTCCTTTACTTGAATTTTTTCTCATGAAGGTTTTTTCTTGTAAGGTTTTAACGATGCATACTCTTAATATAATGGATATTCAAGAGGGAGTGTTATGAATATTTTCGTGAATATCCATTTATATTATCTATATCTAGATTTGATGTAAATTAGATTGGATTATAATTTAATCCATCTTATCCTTAAGTGTTATCTTCATCTTATAAATTCAATTTAGATAAGAGGTTATTAGCTTATAAATAGGCTTTTTCACTTCATTTGTAAATATATACTTGAATAAAATCTTCTTACTCCCTCTAAATACTTTCTCTTATATTTCTCTTATAGTAGTTTTTTTAGATTTATTTCATAACAATATATAAATAATACTACAAAAATAATAGTGATAAATATGTAAATAAAGATAATTGAAAATAAGAAATCAAAGAAATTATATGATACATGTGAGAAAAGATCCAAAATAAAGCAACACAAATCAATCACACTCCAACAAATTAATCCAAAAACAACATCAACTTATAAAATAAATAAATTCATGTATAAAAAAAATCAATAACAATGGGTAATTACCATAAATAACAATGCGTAATCACCACGAAAATAAAGAAAATTTTTCTTTATTTGTATGGCAATTTTTCTTAAAAAAGAAAAAGGAAAAATTGTAAATATAATTAATAAAGAAATAAAAATATTAAGAGAACGAATAACAAATAATTAAAAGAGATAAAACTAAACAAAGGATTTAATCTCAGAATGAGCAAAGATGCAAGTAAATCATTGTTTACAATAAAAAAGTATAACCACATACCTAATCAAATAAGATAAAAAGAAAGAAAATTTAGAAACTTAAATAAAAGGTTTCTGGTTATTGTATGAAAGTAATAACATTATAAAAATAAAAATAATAAAGAACCTAAATAATAAAAGCTTGAATATACAAAAAATCATGAAATTAAGAAATAAAATAAGAACGATATTTAAAATACCTAAAATATTTATACTTGGAAACCATTTTAAATCTATAAAAATCAAGATTATATAAAAAAATAAAACAACATTAATCAATGATATTTCAATAAATTAATCCAAAAACCACATCAACTTATAAAATAGAAAAATTCATACATAAAAAAAATCAATAACAATGGGTAATAACCACGAAGATTAGAGAATTTTCTTCTTGACTTGTATGGCTACATCTCTGAAAAAAAAAGGCCAAAATTGTAAATATAATCAATAAAGAAATTAAAACATTAAGAGAAAGAATAACAAAAAATAAAAAAGAGAGAAAAACTAAACTTAATCTCATAAGGAGTAAAGGTTCAAGTAAAATATTATCTACGATGGAAAAGTATAACTACACACTTAATTAAATGATATATAAAAAAAAGTTTAAAACTTTATTTGAAAAGTTTTTGATTTCTGTATGCAAGTAATAACATTATAAAAGTAAGGCTAATAAAGAATCCAAATAATAAAAGCTTGAATAAACAAATCAAATGAGATAAAAAAATAAGAAATTAGAAACTTACACCAAAAGTTCATGAGTTTTGTGTAGAAGTAATAGCATTATAAAAAATAATAATAAAAACTAGATAAACAGAAAATCATAGAATCAATTATTTAATTAATTATTTTATTTTTATTATTACTATTTTTTAAACTAATTAATACATAAATTAAAATCAAATAAATAAAATAAATAATTAAAAAGTAAAACAATGGACAAGGAAATAAAACGAAAAAAGGAGAAAAATAAGAGAGAAGTCAATTTATCTCTATCTAATCTGTTCAATCAATTAAAAAAATTACAAATTTGAATTTATATTTGTGTCTCAATACTTAGCTCTCCCTCATGCTTGATCTCTCCTTTTTCCTCTTTCCTCATCCTATTCTCTTGTTCTTTCTCCATATCTCTAACCAAGAGACTCCAATAAGAAAAGAAAATTTTGGAACCATGGCATTAGGAAAAGACAAAAATGTCATAGCTTCCCAAAAATACAAAAACTCTAAAAAAACTTTAAAATAGAAGCATGTCTCACGAGCTCAATTGATCATGCCACGTGATCAGCAATTAGCCCCTCAATTATCCCATTCTCAAGATAACTTTTAATATATGCAAATATTTGAATAAATTTAGCAGAAGAGATTCACAACACTAGGTTTTGATCCTTTAAATTAGAAAAGGGTTACAACCATTGGCTTTATGATTTTTCATTTTGGGTAAGAAAACATGCATAAAAGCCGAAATGACTTCACACATGCGGTGATCAACCTCAAGTTGACTTGAACATGGGATAGCAATTAGTTAAATTGGTGAAAAAATGCTATTAATCACGTCTCCACATATTTTAATCAAACCAACTAATTTTTAATATCAACCAAATTAACCGATTAATCAATTTAATTTGATTTTAATCCATTTAACCAAATTTTTTCTGAAAAAATAAATTTTATTAAATTCTAATTAAATGAGGGACATCAAAAATTTTTGAATGCACTCAAACCCGTTTTTCAAGCTCATTTTTCTTATTTTCATTTAATGGTGCACAATTGAACCCATGCTCTCTAACCAAGTATGAAAATTAACTTAAATCAAATGCACTCAAAGCCATGCTTTATAAAATTAATTTAATTTATTTAAATGGTGTACAATTCAAATTTGAAGGATAAAAAAAAATTAGTATAAATGCTAAGTGAAAAAAAAATTAAAACATATAGATAAGTCAACAGGTACTTAATTTGAAAACAAATGTACAACATGTGAAAGAGAAATAATTACTATTAAAGTGACTAAACTTCATATAAATACTATGCTTATATTGTTTTTATATGTTTTTGTTTTAACTATATATTAATATTTAACATTCGAATATTTAATTCGATGTACAATTTTTATACTTAAAAAAGTAAAATTCAAATCCCTCTTTTCTCAATTCAATAAAAAAAAACCATATATTAATATTTAAAAAATTATTTTAATTTTATCCCATTATTTGTATAAAAAATTTAATTTTGAGATTTAACTGTTATAGTATAAAACTTTATAATTAATTATTTATTTATAAATTTATTTAGTCATGCTCGGGACTTAGGAGCCTTCAGTATTTTCCCTTCTATAGCCGAATTGACCTATTGTTTTCATACAGCAAGTCCATCATCAATGTATAAAGGAGCAAACATTATTCCTCCCAAATGAAGGACTAAAATTACTTAATCCTGACTAGGAACACAACATATTTACAAACATGGCCAGAAGACTTCCATTAATATTCACAAAAACTCCAAACACAGGTTCTAATATTACCATGGATTCTTCAGCAGTTCTAATTGAAGAATCCTCATGCTTTACAAGTTTAGTTAGCAACCTGAAAGCATTCTTCTTACGCTTGTAGAAGAAAAAGGCTTTAGGTTTTATCATTATCTAGCTTGAATATCAGAATCTTCCATGATGTTGAACAAAAACTGCGGCAGTGAAGCAATCCTAGGAAGATTAAGAAGAAGATCCCCCACTGAGTCCTTCCTTGACATGGCCTGTGGGCGCTTGGAGTTAGAAACATTATTGGATTCATTCATTGATACACCCTCTGCTGTCTTACTCTCACGTGCTGCTGCAGAGACTGAGCTGCCTTCAACATGTTTACCATGATCATGCACATCGACAGCAACATCCTCCTCGGTTGGAAAATCTGGTGCCACAGCAGAATCCTTCTGCAGAAGACAGCAAAGAGAATTGACCCTAGCCATGAGAGACTGTTCATCAGAGGCTGATGCATGCAGTGAGTCATTGAGCAAGTATTGAGTAATCTCCTCCAAAATGTCTTGGCCCTGCAGGTCATCATTGGCAGATGTCATCTGCTCAGAAATGCAATTTCCAATATGATTTACTAGATCACTCATCGACATGGATCCATGAAGTCCAGAAAATCTAATCTGATCCCATTGACGGAGCAACTTTCCTTCATTGGCAGTACTGCCTCTGATTTCTTCAATTGCATTGGTATCGATTACTGTAGAGAAACAGATAAGTTACTGTGCAATGTTAGAGAGTGCCTAACACACTGTTACAAACTCCATATGAGCAACATATACTACTAAATTATAAATGCATGTTTTTCCTTTCTAATAACATAATTAATGCATGTACTTATATATACATGATACTTTTCAAAAGTTAAACTAATCCTTTTAGTGTTGATGCTAGGAATATTTTTGTGAGTTGACCATCTACATTTATGTAATTTATGTGATTTTCTCAAATTATTTTATAATATACACTATTCTACATTTGTACTAATATAATACTCACTATTTTCCTTCTTCAATAATATTAATTTCATCTGCATCTCATCGTTATAACTGGGATGAATTTCTGTTTTGTCATAAAGTTCAGCATATACTTTCGAGTTATTTGTAGATATGAGAATGAAGAGCTCTTGTGATAAAAAATTGGCATGCGAAGCACAGGCAATCCGACTGCAAAAGTTGATACCTTTAAAGCAGCTATACTTATGCTTTGAAGGTAGGGGAACCCTTTGACTCATGTCTTCAAACAGAACATAGCATAACATTATCTCATAGCTTTCTTGAATATAATGTACTATTCTAGAACTTAAAGCATCAGAAACTATTTTCAGTGGCTAGCCATTGAGGGTTTTCAGCTTAGGGTCCCAAACATCAAAACATAATGCATTTGATGACCAAGATACAACATGTTGAAGCATTTTTATATTTCCTTATCCATGTGCCCTTGGCGAATCTTTTGTGGCTAAGGTAGGCATAGCAGCCAAAAACAGGATTCAGCAGCTTTGGATATTTACGAACAAATAACTAACTCAAAGAAGCAATAGCTACAGTAAGCATCTATTGGATACCGATAGTCTAAAATACTATATACTTTCTAAACATGCTTCAGTGTGAAAATAAAAGTTTTCTTTTAGCCTTGGATTTTGTCTAAAAATTGTTAGATACCCCTGGAACCTGTTTAATAAATGTCGGACATTAGGATAGGAACATAACTAACACTAAAGAGAACAATGAAGTTGAAACAAGAACATAAGAAAAGTTTTAGCAAGAATTCAAATTGTTTTGATGTGAATGATGAGTTTATCTTTTTAATCTATAGCCAAGTATTAAATGTTACAACTGCAGAACTTTTAACAATCATCGATGACACAGGATTTTTCACTCATTTCTGTCTATTTGTGAGTTTTTATAGTAAAACACCCAGACTTTTTCTTAACTGTTTTTTAAAGTTTTCAGTATTGGCTTAATTATGTCCTTAATCCAACTAATTCTTCGTTCCTTCCACATCTAATAAAATGAGATAGAAGTCTTAGTCATCCTATTTCCAGCAAGATTAAAACTAGAGTAAATGACATAGTTTAAAATGAGCAAAGAAAACTGCTGAGAATGCACTTCTGCATTGACAGACCCCCATCTAACAAACAAACCAGAATCCATTTCTTATGCTAATTATAAAACAAATTACAGGTTGTTTTAGAGTGCATCAGATGTAAACGGGGACTCCATGTCTCCATGTTCAGTATAGCATCCATCAAGGACAGAAAGGTATTATCAATCAAGTGGTAGATGGGCTTCAAATAGTAGACCATGGAAAGATAATTCTTATGCTATGACAATCTTTAGGCATATTGACTTCAAACAAAAGATAGCTTGACCATATTCCAAATGGCTGATTATTAGCAGTTATAATTGCTGTGTAACACTTATAGGAAGGTCGCTTGTCAATGATATTCACATTCTTGATGTTGTTAAAAGTAACAAGACCGCATAACATATACTTCAATTTACTCATCAATCAGAGCTATTCTGAAAATAGAGATAATTTAGAAGGCAAGCATATAAAAAAGCACTTTTAACATTCTTTTGTTGTTTGGGAAGCAGTGGTTTACCCACAGTGCGCTATGACATAATTGTTCCAGAATTTTGCCGTTACCAATAACTGAGTCAAGCTCTGAATCATCACTACTGGGAATTAGTTAGATCTCATCAATCATTTAAACAATATATATATATATATATATATATATATATATAAAATGAGACAAAGGTAACCATCCTTCCTTGTTAAAGACTCCATTCAATACTGCCAAATATGATGAAAATGTAGGAATGATCTTGTCATTGTATCAAAACTTCCACTAGAATGATGTCACATGTACCAATATTCTCGGTTCATTATTTTACCTGAGCTAGGTGATGGAGTTCCCTGGCAAAAATGTTCAGCAGCTCTACCACTGAAATCTTGCTCTTTTTTGCAGGAAGAAGATTGACCAGCCGCTGGTGATGATGTATCCTGCAATCCAAAGATAGTAGGTCCCTCTTCACCTTCTAACTCAACCTTATGGCCAGCTTCATTTGAATCATTGAAACCAGATATCTTGGGTTCAAAATATGGTGATTCTAACAAAGTTTCTGGCTGTTGACTTAGGAAGTTGAGACGAGGATCACATTGAATAAGTTTCTCAAAATGCTTTCCCAAAAGGCCCTGTGGGCACTGTAGGAAATGTTGCCTGTGACAAATAAAGAATGCATCATCATTACCGGACAATACTTATATGATACAAGGTTTAAAAAAGAAGTGAATGCTCATATGATCAACTAAAGCAATGGTACTTAAATTTAGTTGCATGACCAACACAACATGAGAATAAATTCACTTCAACAACCTGCCGCAGCTAGAAACTACAAAGCTTAACAATAGTACCTGTGTATGCTTGCTTGTCCACCAGTAAAATCTGATGTTGCTTGCCATAGAGTATGCTTCCTAGGTTGTGGATTTGTCTCCCTAAAGAAAAGGGGCTGTCTTGCCAACTGTAGCAAACAACAAATTCCTCTAAAATCAGTATTACCATCAGAATATTGAAAATTATGAGAAGATAATAGTTAAGGAAGAACAACTGCATAAGGCATAAGTTAAATTACCGCTACATCCAAGGTCCCCGGTCCATCTTCAGGATACTTTGCCTTGATAGCTACAATATCAGACCACTGAATTTCAATTTTGTTCTTGAGTCCACCATCAAGCACTTCCCATACAAGCTTGTGCTTAGCAAAGTAGCATTTTGCTACCAAATCCCCTTCATATCTTGACTTATACTACAATCCAACAAAATCTCAAGCAATTCAAACTCAACAGGTCAAACTCAACAGGAAAAACACATCATACGCCTTATGAAAACACAACAAACCCAAAGAAAAAAAAACAAAGGATACCTCCCAAGAACCGATTCGCAACACGGAAGCAGGAAAATTTGAGGCCTTGAGCTTGTCCTGACCGCTGGAAACTGAAGTTCCCTTGCTATCTTTCTTCTTAAGAGCTGTTAATTTATTGGCATTTTGTTGTGAGAGTTTCATTTGAATCAAGTCCAAAAAAGATGGACTCTTTTTCAGACGCAAGCCAAGTGGACTAGGCTCGTCAAGTGGATTATATAATGATGGTGGGATTGGAAAATCCCCACTTTCAATATTACCCTCCTGTTCCAACAAGCAAATCCATACAATAATTTAACAAACAAATAAAAGATATCAGAAGCAACACAATGAAAAGAAAATTTGTGGAACTTAATAGCTAAATAAAAAAAAAAACAACAGCAAGACAATTCCAAAAGAGGGAAGGCTCTTTGGGCTTAAACCCAGGATAGAAACAAACCCAACGATGAATAATCCCAACAAAAAAACCTTAAAAAAATGAAAAAACAAAAACCCATTTAGTTAATATGTTCAAAAAATACATATATAATATGTATAGAAAATTTATACCTGTAAAGAAGGGTCAAGTTTTGATCTTTTGTGAAGAGGAGCCAATCCATCTTCCAGCGCTTCTTCCACTTCCAGTTTCACAGCTACCCTTTTTCCTGAACTCATCAATTGCACCATTTGATCAAAGCTTTCTTCTTTTATTCTTTTCTTTTTCAGGATTTTTTTTGCTTTGCTTCTTCAATACTCTGCAGAGTCTGAACAAAAAACAGAGGATCTTTTTTTAAAACAGCAATGGCTGGCTGGCGGCCTGGTCTTACTCACTGCACGTGCCAAGTAGAATCGACACGTGTCCTTTCAGAAACACAGCTGGACGGAGACCTTTTAAATGACGAAAATGACCCTTGCTTCGTATAGTGAGGGTTTTACTGGGGGTTATTTTCGTCATTTTAGAGGCAGATGGGAGTGGAAGGCGACGTCAGCTGTTTTGGACGGTTGCGGCGGTTTGTGGATTGTGTCACGTGAGGGCACGTGCTATAGGTTTAAATGGATAAAATGTGGGCCCAAGGGTTCGTGAACGTTCCTGAGTGGGACTAGTGTCTTTTGTCCGTATTCATTTTTAGAGGAAGCGCCAGCGATTGGGTAAGCGTGACACGTGGAGGAATCTGAAGGGTTCCAGGGACACGTCGGATTGTAAAATGGGATTCCGCGTAAGCTTTTTAACGGATAATGTTTTCAATTTGGATTTGTCATCCTTTGAGTTGACCAATATCTTTCCTATTTAGTTCTCCTTTGCAATTGTCATTAAGCCTCCCTCCCCCTTTCTCTTTGAAGTTTGAACATGCTTTGGAATATAATAATTCTTGCATCTTATCATTCTCCTTTAATTAAATTAAATTTAGACAAACATAATAACAAAGTAACTCTTTAATTTAATAGTTTTAGATTGAACTATATATTATGATGAGGGAATGAGATTCCCACCTTTCCTTGCTATATGCATATTGAATTCAAATATTTTATGTGCAATTTTTTGATTAAGTTATTAGATTCTTTTCATATTGGGGAATACCCTTTCCATTCTTCTTGTATGCCTACTTAGGATAAACATATTTTAACTTACTAGGTATTAAAGATCTATATCTCTAATCATGATATGGTTTCAACAATTTTAAATGAAAAGATTAAAAAGTAAAAATAATTAAAGAGATGAGATAACATTACGATTGAGTTAACAGCATTGAAAGGAAGATGAAGCATTGTTTGTTATATATGCTAATGTTGCAGGATAAACTAAGGATACATATCCTTAATGAAAAACACTTTGGAGAGATTTTATACCTTCAAAATTGGGGAGAGATAGAAACTAGAGTAGATGTGGTAGTGGCATTCAAAGCAAAGTGGTGTTGAAATAAACCTATAAAGAGGTTGTCACATCCCAATTTTTGAGGCATGTTTGGCGTAAGGACCTAAATGGATATATACCTCTAGATCCAAGCAAGTCTTGCTCAATCCATAGTTTGTGTGTGTGCGTGTGTGTGTGTGTGTGTATATATATATGTATATATGTATGTATGTATCATTTAAAACGTAAGAGAGGTACATAGTGTATACCAACATAATCAACCATACAATCCAAGCATGCATACAACCATGTGTAAATTAATTTCCATTTCATCATAATTCATAATCATGTAGTTTCATAGTTCGACACGTTTCCCATGACTATTATCATTTATGACTTTATCACCATAGGTATTTTAAATCATACGCACCCTTTTTGATGCTTAACAGAACATTTCATAACAAAGTAAATAGCAAAAATAATTTACATAGCATGAGTCCAACATGAAGAGTAAATTACTAGTACGACTTGCCTTGACACCATTGAGAAGTGTAACGACATCAGAAGGCTTGAAAGAAGGCATTATCGCACCTACCAAATATGAGCTAAGCTACTTGTAGACACTAAATTTTTTATATAAATATAGGTAGTTAATAGTTTATGTTTATGTGGATTTTCATTTCTGATTCTATGCAGCATAATTTCGTTCACGAGACCAGCTTATAACTAACCTTTGGAGATATCTTGTTCTTCTTTTTCCTCCTTATTCTTTAGAGTCGCCATAATAGTAAGGATATATGCTTTCACCTCTTCTTTTGTTGGGCTCACCATGACTGATTCCTCCATTTATCTCACCTCAACGTTCTTGTACTCTCTGAAATCCACCTACATCAAAATCCAGTCCTGCACATGTAAGTTGCACGCACTGAACAATTAACAATAGAAGCTCCACGACATTTACAAAAATATTTCTTTTGTTACATGCCCTTTATAATTTCTATTTTATAACACACACTTTATAATTTATATTTTGTTACATGCCTTGTATAATTTTTATTTTGTTGCATGCCTTGACTAATTTCTATTCTATTATACGTCATACCTTTAATCCAATTTTCGTTACACGCTATTTCTAAACTTCATAACATTCTAAACATAATACATTTAATAATACGTTGTTACATGCAAAACCTCAAGGATATCTGCTTTCATCTTTTTCTTTGTTGGACTCACCACAACTGATTCCTCTATTTATTTCACCTCAACATTCTCGTACTCTCTGAAATACATCTACATTAGAATACAATCTTACACATGTGAGCTACACATGTTGAACAGTTAACCAGAGAAGCCCCACGACATTTACAAACATATTTCTTTTGTTATATGCCTTGTATAATCTCTATTTTGTTCCACGCACTTTATAACTTTTGTTTTGTTACATATCCTGTATAATTTTTATTTTGTTACACGCCCTAAGTAACTTTTATTTTCTTACACGCCCTGACTAATTTCTATTTTCTTACATGCCATAACTTTAATCCACTTTTTGTTACACGCTAGTTTTACATTTCATAACATTTTGAACACAATACATAATAATACATGTGACACACAATGCCTCTACTTTGTAAGTTTCAACACACCATATTCATGCAATTTGTGAAATCATCAATTTGTTACATACCATGCCCATTTTCTCTATGTATGCTACAATATTCGACACAAATGGCCATGTCATCTAATCTATGATAATTTTCACTCCTTCAAACGACACCAATGCTATTTGACAACAAAACCTTATACCACAATCTCAACTAATATGGCATTCAAATCACTAAACCCACTTAAAATGTAAAACAAAATTTGACATTACTTGACTTACCATATCTTACCAATTTCTTCCCTGTCACCGTTAAGTTTACTCTCACCTTGTTTGAACACTTCCTTATCTTTTCCAAATGAGTGAAATGAGCATTTAATATCCCTACATTATTATATACCTATCGTTTCTATTTACGACAATATCTAATAAATCAAAGAAAATCATTATCATATCCTACAACCAGAGGAAGGCTTTACTTTTAACAAATTGTTCCTTACCAAATTCTGACCATATTTATTTTTTTCACTTATCTATGCGTGTGTGATAGTACGCATGATTGAGAAGGTTCAATTTAAGATAGCGTTTGGTATGAGGGAAGTGAGAACACATTTCCCTACAATGTGCCCAATTAAATTATATTGCAGTGTTTGTTTTGCAACAGATTACCGCAATGTAAGATTGCAATACAATCACATTACAGCCAAGGGATGTAATCTGATTACAGTCCAAAACCAATGCAATTACATTACATTGCACTCTGTAATGTTCTTAAAGATATTTTTACCCTTCAACTTTATTACTTTATTAAAAATATTTTATAATATTATAATAAAATAAAATATTAAAATAAAAATAATATAAGAATCAAAAATAATAAAATAAAATATAAAAAATTAAAATTTATAAATATTTGTAAAAAAAATTAAAATAAAATATATAATATAAAAAATTATATTAAAGAAATAAAAATAAAATATATAAGATTATAATAATAAATAAAAATAAAAATATATGACATTCAAAATATATTTAAGAGATGATATTATATAAAAATTAATAACAAAAAAAATATATTAAATTCATATTTTAATAACTAAAGGTAATTTTAAAAATTAATATTACATTCCTAGCAAAGTACTTGTAAACCAAACACTGTAATATTATCTTCTCTGCATTTTAATCATTATTTTGCTTGTATACCAAACACTGTAATGATATTTTTTCTGCATTTTAATCATTATTTTGCTTGTATACCAAACACTGTAATGTTATTTTTTCTGCAATAACATTGCTTGTAATCACATTACCTGTAATCACATTGCATTGTAAAGTATCAAACACCACCTAAGTGTATTGTTGTCCAAAAATCTAATCTCTTGGGTAAAAACAATCAAAATTATAAGGAGGGCTATTTCCAAAAATACTTTATATTTGAAGACTAAAAAAAATTGTCCCTAGATAATATTCATGCATGTTCTAGATTTTACCTTTTTAAAATAATATAAGCCCATATTTTTAAATATTTCACTATGCTTTCTAAGGTAATATATTTGTATTAGAATGTAATGCAATATTGAAATTGAATAATATCTAAAATGAATTTTTTTGTTATATTAAAAAGTTGAACCATAATTTGATTATATATGTTAAAATATTTTTAATTCTAAGTGGAATTAAGGAGGCATATAAATATAGAACATTTCACCTAAAAATGAGACTCACAAGTTAATATAAAGAGACATTGATAAAAGAAAATAATAATTCACAATAATGGTAACCACTTTTTCCTTTTAAAAGAAAAAGCTAAAGTTGTCAAAAAAACAATTTCAATTACTTTGAAGAGTTCAACTAAATAAAACCATGATTGTCTTTGGAGGTGATTTTTATTTTTTTGTCTCATATATTGTGTCTAAATTTGATTTTGCACAACATTTATTTTAAATTAAGTTTTAAATTTCTTTAATTATAAAATTTGTTTCTTAAATAACCCTTCTAAAGAAAAAAAAGAAAAATATTAAAGAATTATAGTTAAGAAAATAAGAATAAGCAAAAGATATTTTTCTTATTTTTCAAAACGTATTAAATTAAAACAATTAAAAATATGTAAACTAGACAACATTTACGAGACAAAGAGTTGAAAATTTTAAAAGGTTAAAAGCTCTGATTTGAAACTGATCTAATAGATATGAATGACAAATACAATCTCAACAGAGGGTGGAGTAATCGTTATAACCAAATAAAATTAAGTTTTAGGTTTCGGAATTTACCTTTTTATTAGGTATTTTATATTATTATGCACATCAGATCACTATAAATTTCA